TCAAACCTTACCGTGCAGGCAAGGGGACAAGAATGAAAGCAACAAATCAAATCTCTGTCGCTTTAGTGAACACAAGTACTGCAAGAAAAGCAAATACCGAGCATGTCGTGTGGTGAACGAGAATCATTTCACGGACCTCTTAAAAATATCAGGATTACTGTGTCAATTCTACTCTTACTAAAAGTGTACCCTTACTCTTTCTGTTATACCTCTGTGAAATAGGTAGGCTCTATCAGAAATTGGAAAGTTCACAAAAGTACACGCCAAGTAGGAAATGTCTTTTCCGGAATATGAAATTACGTTTATTGCATAGTAAGCTGTTTATGTTTGAGGCATCTTGCTTCTTGTAGTGTTGGCCTAGATGTCATTATCACTTATGGTACCAGACAAAAATATCCAAATCGAGTTTTGAATGGTCATCGCTTGTTACAGCACAAAATGAATATAATATATCTAGTGTTTATCGGAACAAAAAAAGTGTTTAAATTTAACTGAAATTTGAGCATGACGTAAACTGCTTGGGTGGTTTTTAGCTCTCGTATTCTAGTTGCCAATTTGGGTGAATTACAGTTTCCGAACGAAACGTTCGAAAAATAACATGCATTATAAACATGATACAAGGGATCCAGAGCCGGAAATAGACAGGCTAATTTCCCAGGATGTTCGTTAATGTAAATTAAGATTTTGTGAAGTTATTTTGAAGGATTTTTTTTTTACTCAATTTATGGAACTATGTAAAACATAAGATCCAGTTCGGTTCAAAATGATAAATGGAAATATTTCATGTTTCGTTTAACAGCTGACGTAATGTGACCCATATCCATCGTTCGTTATATCGTATCGCTGTTACTTAACCTAAAACCGAACTGGATCACGTTTACAAGATCCTTCCAAACACTGAAATCTATCTCTATTTTGACGTCTAAAATATTCAAACCATGTCTAAACTGACGTCTTTAACAGGGTTAATTTCTGGTATTCCACGCCGTGTGACTTTCCTGTTTATACAGAGTGTATTTACTGAGTTTGTTACGTAATGGTACACACACGACCGAAATTCATCAAATTTTAGAAGTATTTTGTTCATTCTTTATATATATTAAGTGTTATTTTCCACGTTTTTTCAATTGCCTGTGAAATCTAAAACAGGGAGATACTAAACCAAAAACCATTTACTTGTACGTGTAAACAAAGGAAATTTCAGAATGTCGTTTTTAATTTTCTTTTCTTCCGGAAAAGATTTACACGTTAGGCGGTGTTCAATGTCATATTATTTAAACGGATATATGTCATTTTGAATGTCTATATATAGGTTATTACATGATATCATGTAACTTTGTCCGTTAATGTACGTTGTGTATATATATCTTTCATGTCATCACGTGACTGTCAATGTAAATATGCCGTATCATATATGCGTTTTAAGTGTAGACATGTATAAGTTGGAATACCTTGGTGAACAACCCTGCAATGAACTATGTTTAAGCTAAAACATCATTGTGTTTGATGGGTCCATCTTCGCTATGTTTGGGGGTGCAATAAAGTTGCAAAATAATAACTTGAAAATGATATTTCCATTGTGACGTCAAAAATTTAAGACGTCACCGACGAAAGAGTTATAGTCAGAATTAATATCGTCAAATAGAAAATTAATCTCAAGTCAAATAAAACCACGTGTTCAATTTGAAGATATCAAATTTATGTGATAAACAGAATATTAAATTTGTTTCTTGTTCATAAAAGAATAACGAAACTTGTTTCATTTTACTCTAACACTTCTCAGATTCGTTTCGTAAATTTCATATAAATGGATGTTTATATATGCTTCTTTATCTACATTGTATGTACACGATGTAATCAATGATTCTTTATCTACATTGTATGTACACGATGTAATCAATGATTCTTTATCTACATTGTATGTACACGATGTAATCAATGATTCTTTATCTACATTGTATGTACACGATGTAATCAATGATTCTTTATCTACATTGTATAAACACGGTCTAATCAATGATTCTTTATCTACATTGTATGTACACGATGTAATCAATGATTCTTTATCTACATTGTATGTACACGATGTAATCAATGATTCTTTATCTACATTGTATAAACACGGTCTAATCAATGATTCTTTATCTACATTGTATGTACACGATGTAATCAATGATTCTTTATCTACATTGTATGTACACGATGTAATCAATGATTCTGTATCTACAGTGTATGTACACGATGTAATCACGATCTAATCAATGATTCTGTATCTACATTGTATGTACACGATGTAATCAATGATTCTGTATCTACATTGTATGTACACGATGTAATCAATGATTCTTTATCTACATTGTATGTACACGATCTAATCAATGATTCTTTATCTACATTGTATGTACACGATGTAATCAATGATTCTGTATCTACATTGTATGTACACGATGTAATCAATGATTCTTTATCTACATTGTATGTACACGATGTAATCAATTATTCTGTATCTACATTGTATGTACACGATGTAATCAATGATTCTGTATCTACATTGTATGTACACGATGTAATCAATGATTCTTTATCTACATTGTATGTACACGATGTAATCAATGATTCTTTATCTACATTGTATGTACACGATGTAATCAATGATTCTTTATCTACATTGTATGTACACGATGTAATCAATGATTCTTTATCTACATTTTATGTACACGATCTAATCAATGATTCTGTATCTACATTGTATGTACACGATGTAATCAACGATTCTTTATCTACATTGTATAAACACGGTCTAATCAACGTCATGAAATATACCCTAGTGCACGTTGCACTAGTCTAGAACGTGTGTATTTAGGAATATAGATATAGATGTTCAGATATGCACTAACACCGATATACATGTACTTTCTCCTATATTAATCACAGCGACGCTGTAGTACTTGTGAAGCTACTTGACATTAGAAGTGTCGGGCGGAGAGCAACAGCGTTTGATGTAAAACTCAGATCTATTTATTGACAGGAAAATCGTGTTTTTGGCAACAAGTCAAATGCATCTACATTCAATTATCATTCAAGAAATTTCGTCAACTGTATGAAAAAGAACAAGTAGGCTGTACAATTCGTCCTAATTCTACATGTAAAGACGAGTAATTATTTAGTTAGCCGGTATTTATTTAGTTATCATATCAAAACAACGCGAATCTCATTTTGTCGTTTGTTTATTCTAAGTTATGACGTATGTGTGACGTACGTTTTGTTTATTTACGATGTGACACCTGGTCTATTTGACTTGTCCAAAAACCCACCATCTGGGCACGATTGCGGTTGCCTTAGAGACTATATTGCACGACTGTAAACCGGAAAATGTTCTTGTTAAGGCGAATATAAAAAGGTGGATTAAATTTGAATTGGAGCTGAAATGATGGTTATTAAATTTTAAAGTTGAATTCAAAACTGGGGGACGGTAAATATTTTGATGGTGGGACAAATATAACCCTGGGCGATATACTGTGTAAGAATAAATAGGATGGGGTAGGTGTTTGGTAGTGAGGGAGAAGGGGTGTTACCAACAAAGAATAAATCCTGATTCAAAAGGCGCAAACAAATAAGAATGTATTATGTATAATTGCCAAAGAAAATTGGAGTTCAAGTTTATATGAGGTTGATGTGGTCTATGAAATTCATAACTGTGTTTATCGTTAGGTCCTACCGCGAACCTGACGGGACGTAATTGCCCATGGATAGCTTTGCACGTGATTGCGCGTGAAGTGTATATTATTTTAACATTTAGATTAAAAACATCGTACTAGTATATATAAAAGTATGTTTAAGTAATCTGAATATTTTATAATAGTATATCTCATAATGTCGCAAAAGTTCCCACGGTATCATATAATCAATTTTCGATTTGTGTTTTCCGGAACCTTTTTCCACACCCAATTGTTTATTGCAGCTGGGGACAAAGATTACATTTATCATTACATTCACGCTGTTTTCAAAGTATGTAATGTGTGAAATCTTGCACGTGCGTGAAAGTTTTGTTCGTGTGATTATGAAAAAAACAAGAAATGCAAAATCCCTCTTGATGTCCATTCTACCAGATAAAATCGTAACAAGCCGTTCAAATCTCACGAAACCTACTTTCACATACATGTAATATCGTAAAAGAGCCTCTTAATAAATTGCTATAAGAAAATGCAAATTGACAAATGACAGAACAAATTTAAATAAAGCCTAGCAGGAAGTTACTTTTCGTTTCGGTCCTTGATAAAGTATCAAGGATGATTTGTTTCAATTTTAGATAATATTTCCGTGTATTCCCACTTATGTGTCCAATTAGACACACACACACAGAGAGAGAGAGAGAGAGAGAGAGAGAGAGAGAGAGAGAGAGAGAGAGAGAGAGAGAGAGAGAGAGAGAGAGAGAGAGAGAGAGAGAGAGAGAGAGAGAGAGAGAGAGAGAGAGAGAGAGAGAGAGAGAGAGAGAGAGAGAGAGAGAGAGAGAGAGAGAGAGAGAGAGAGAGAGAGATTTGTAAGAAACAGATTTTTCCACGTGCTCTTTTTCTCTATATTACGATGTTACCGTACATGATTGATGCATATTCATAAGTACTTCGAAAATTATGCATGTACTTATGGACATAAACATATGTCTTTGGTACATATTTGCCACACCTTACTGCTACAGTGTGTAGATATAATATACACAGAACACTATCTATAAATAAAACCTTATATAATGACTGACTGACTATGAACTTTTTTGGTAATAAACAAACTCTGGAGTGCTCTATTAGATGAAGCAAATTCTTGTCAACGATAAACACAAGCGCCAATTTCTTTAAACAGCTTTTCCATTAGTTCCGTTTTGCAATGAATATAGCTTAATGTTTCGTAAAGTACTGATATATCTGTTTCCCGCCCACAAGTAAATAAGATCTTGACCTATTTCAGTACCTCTTCTCATATCTGTATTTCTAATTATTTTGAAGGTTGGAGATGTTGGTGTTAGCTATTTGCCTCGCGCTATCTACGCCAATTACATCCGGGGATACTAATGTAAGTATGACTTCAGCCTGTATGTCATTAAAACTGATTTGTCGATGCTTGTCATGAAAGTGTAAATAGTTTGGATAACTCTTGCAGAAAACGTGAACACCAAGATCAGTGAGCTATATCGTTTTCTAATGTCAGCGCGTCACAGCTAAATCGCTCTCTAATAACAACTCGTCACAGCTAAATCGCTCTCTAATGTCGACTCGTCACAGCTAAATCGCTCTCTAATGACAACTCGTCATAGCGATATCGCCCTTTAATGACAACTCGTCACAGCGATATCTCCCTTTAATGACAACCCGTCACAGCTGAATCGCTCTCTAATGACAAATCGTCACAACAATCGCTCTCTAATGACAAATCGTCACAGCTGTATCGTTTTCTAATGCCAACTCGTCACAGCTAAATCGCTCTCTAATGTCAACTCGTCACAGCTAAATCGCTTTCTAATGACAACTCGTCACAGCTAAATCGCTCTCTAATGTCAACTCGTCACAGCTAAATCGCTCTCTAATGACAACTCGCCATAGCGATATCGCCCTCTAATGACAACTCGCCACAGCTGTATCGCTTTCTAATGACAAATCGTCACAACAATCGCTCTCTAATGTCAAGTCGTCACAGCTGTATCGTTTTTTAATGACAAATCGTCACAACAATCGCTCTCTAATGTCAAGTCGTCACAGCTGTATCGTTTTCTAATGACAAATCGTCACAACAATCGCTCTCTAATGACAAATCGTCACAACAATCGCTCTCTAATGACAAGTCGTCACAGCTGTATCGTTTTCTAATGCCAACTCGTCACAGCGATATCGTTGTTGTCAACTCATCACACCGATAATGTTTTTGTCTACCAATGTCTTTTTAATCTTTACGTCACATGATATCGCTTTTTTGACATCTTATCACATCGACATTGCTTTCTATGGACAAATCGTCACACAGACATCGCTTTTGTGAAACCCATCATAACGACAATGCTGATGCATATATTCATGCGTTATAGAAAAATCGTCAAAGCATATGTACAGGGTCACGATTTGCGTATTATATCGACTATTTTGATTTATTGAATAAACATAACATCTGCCAAACCAATCGGGGTCTCTCTGTGTACTCCGGTTTCTGATGTTCAAATTGAAGTATCAGACCGTTTCTAATTAACGATATCGTAAAGAGTCCCTCTCTCCCGGACCGTGATTTTGTCTTCATCATAGATTTCAAATAACAAAGTTGACACATACAGGCATATATGATGACCAAGCATAGTGTTTCACGAAAGAAGAATGCCTACCTGTCTGTATCAATTAACACAAAAGTATATGATTAGCACACTCGCGATAAGACACCGGTCCATCGAATTCGTGCGCATTGTGTTGAATATTTCGCCGCCTGTTATAGCGATATAAAACAGCTGATAACAAACACACTTATTGTTTGCAAAAATATTTTTCACATAAATTGAAAATTAATGTATTTTGTATTTGCTGCAGGTAGATATGAGAATATATTCTCAAAAAGCGAATGCATCATGTGATGGTATCGGGAGGACATATGCGTGGTGAAATCACCTCCCTCGTGAATGCGCAGAGATAAAGCACCGTCTTTGCTTTGATATAAGAAAAAGGGTGATTACATTAATCAGATATAATCACAAAAAAAGTCTTTTACAAACCAGGAATGGGACGTCGTCTATACCATAGTTATTTTTAGCGGATGATTATCTCAATAAAACCGTTACATGTTTCCACTGCGCAGTAAGATGAGAAACTCTGATTGCAATTTTATGATACAGAAGTCTGTTTTTAAAAGTAAGTGAAATGTACCAATTGTTAGTGTTTGTTTCTAGGCGATGCATATATCCCAAACTTACCTGTAAGCTTCACAACAGAGCTTAACAGTCCGAAGCCCACCTGTCAGTAGACAGCAGCCGTGTCTGGAATACGCGAAACAATTCAACAGGCGCTCCATTGTTTAATTCTGTTGGCGTTCCAGGTGTTACTTGTCGTGTTTTATTGACTTTCGCGGAAGTTAATTTTCCTTGAGTTTCGACAGTAAAAAACTTACACTTTTGTTGATTTTTGTTAACCGGATACTTCAAACCAATAGAAAATCGAAAATTTGGACTGGACAGAGATTTGTTTGATGATGATACTGCAGGAAGTATATTTCGTATTTTGATTCTTTAAATTGAATTCGAAATGAGCTGAACCTCTTGTTAAACATTTGTGTTTTTATTCATATTTTTTCGAATTATGAATTGATTAAAAGCGTCTCTTTATTCTGAATGTTGGTACAAGCAATCTTTCATCAACGATAACATGTTTTCAAATAGAACCAGAATAAAATCTATAGGGCCAGTCCATGTATTACTTCATTAAGTACAGACGTACATGTATACTTATGATATAGTCAGGCAGATACTATGCTAACTAGATAAAGGAGGAAAGGGGAGGAGTACTGCTAACCAGGGGGTGAATGATTGATGGGGCGAGTGATACACGAAGGCCATGATGTCTCGTCACAGACTCGTGTTTCTGTTAGTGTTAAGGAAACAGTAGACGCAAATACATGGATCGGGTGGCCGAAACATCGACCTGGCATTGAACCGTACAAAATCCCGTCTTGTATTTTAGTGCAAGGGGAAGGACGCTCGCATCATTATTAACTTATCAAAGCTTATCAAATAAGACAATAAGATATACCAGAAATAATCTACTAACAAAAGGTAAATAAACGTCATCATTTACTAAACAGACTGAAGCCACATCACAGAATACTTAATAACTTAACAAGTAACTAGATAGACGGAGGCTGCAACAGAACGAAACTTAATTACGTCACAAGTAACTAAATAGACAGAGGCTGCTACAGAACGAAACTAAATTACGTCACAAGTAACTAAATAGACGGAGGTTGCTACAGAACAAAACTTAATCACTTCACAAGTAACTAAATAGACGGAGGCTGCTACAGAACAAAACTTAATCACTTCACAAGTAACTAAATAGACGGAGGCCGCAACAGAACAAAACTTAATCACTTCACAAGTAACTAAATAGACGGAGGTTGCTACAGAACAAAACTTAATCACTTCACAAGTAACTAAATAGACACAAGTTAATCACTTCAAAGTAGACGGAGGCCGCTGCAAAACTTAATCACTTCACAAGTAACTAAAGACGGAGGTTGCTACATTCACTTCACAAAGGTTGCTACAGAACAAAACTTAATCACTTCACAAGTAACTAAATAGACGGAGGCTGCTACAGAACAAAACTTAATTACTTCACAAGTAACTAAATAGACGGAGGCCGCAACAGAACAAAACTCAATTACTTCACAAGTAACTAAATAGACAGAGGCTGCAACAGAACTAAACTCAATTACTTCACAAGTAACTAAATAGACAGAGGCCACATCAGAGAATTAATTACTTCACAAGTAACTAAATAGACGGAGGCTGCAACAGAACTAAACTTAATTACTTCACAAGTAACTAAATAGACGGAGGCCGCAACAGAACAAAACTCAATTACTTCACAAGTAACTAAATAGACAGAGGCTTCACAAGTAACTAAATAGACGGAGGCTGCTACAGAACAAAACTTAATTACTTCACAAGTAACTAAATAGACGGAGGCTGCTACAGAACAAAACTTAATCACTTCACAAGTAACTAAATAGACAGAGGCCACATCAGAGAATACTTAATAACTTAACAAGTAACTAAATAGACGGAGACCGCAACAGAACTAAACTTAATCACTTCACAAGTAACTAAACAGATTAAAGACACTGTAGACGACACTTACTTTATAGGTAACTACCAGACAACGGCGACTAGAGAGACCGCCTTATTAACAAGTAACTAAACAGACTGAGACCGCCACAGACGACATTTACTTCACACGTGACAAATAGACAGAGGCAGCTACAGAGAACGGTCGCCTATTTCACAGGTAACTATATAGATTTAGATTTCTACAGAAGTAACTAAATAGATTGGGGCCACTTAAGACGCTTATAACTTCACGGGTCACTAAATAGATTGAAGCCGTTTCAGAATACGTTTTTTTCTTCCTAAGTAAATAAACAGACTGAGAATACTGCCAAGGACACCTACTTCACAAGCAACTAAACCGTTGCTTTATAAAGAAATCACTTGCTCGATGTTAACCTACATCAAGCTTCAAAGCTTCAAAATTGTATCACCTTCCTTCAACATTTTACAAGACTCACGAGTATGATAAGATGAATATTTCAATACAGGTTTAGGAATTTACGTCATCACGACAGCTGATGTGACATCAATGACGGCAGATACAAGGTAGGATGAACACACATAGTTTGAACATATAATTGCACCGACATCTCAGCTGCTAGCTGACATGCGGTTCAAACTCTGATGTCGGTAACATTATTATTCCTTGACAAGTTGCGCTCATAAACAATATTCTTCCAAAGAATGATTTTGTTTACTTCATCTTCTTCTTGGCCCATGTCTTAAATACTGGGGAAAATATGTACAGTGCGTAAACAAAACGTACTCATAAACCTATAGAAAGCTTTGCCAAAACAGACAGCGAGAGAACAATATAACAATAACATACATTTGTACACTATATCTCTGTTAAGTGATATCGACGTTAAACATCATCACTATCTCATGTCAATGAAAAACGAATGCAGTGCGGCAAAAGCGGGAGAGAAATAGAATCAATTGGTGCATATGGAAATATTTCATTTTCCTATGCATATCAATTAATGACTAATGTGACAGACCCTTGTTTGCAGGGTTCCATAAATTAGTATATCATCACAACAGAAACGTTGTCCATTTCAATCACAATCCTTTTGTCAGTCTCTGTGGTTCATTTCAGAAACCAGTAGCACCCCCTGTCCTCCCCAACCATTCATATCATATCAGCCCGTGAAATTTTATGATCTTTACTAAGCTTTATAAGATCTAAAAAAGATATTAAACGATTAAGGTGGGA